TTCTGCCCCAGGGGACCACAGCCGTCACCTGGGGCTGACTGCCCTCCTCCCACCCCTTGGCAGAAACACAAAAAAACTCCGAAGTGTGGGCTTCATTAACGCCCATATAAAACTGAGGGGCGAGGGGGCACTCTCCCAGGAGAAAGATTCCTGTGCCTCTAACAAAAAAATGATCAAAAACAAATCCTTCCTCAGAACACATTTTGTCTCCTTTCCTGCTCAGGCAAAGGATGCAACAGCCCTGGCCAGGGCGAACTCAGGGCTCCTGCTGGAGGGCCGGGGCGCCTCGCTCTGCCCTGCTCCCACGTCTGCCTGCCACAGGCACGCCTGATTCTGCAGCTCTCCCTGGCGATTCCTACTTCAGAGCTGGGGCTACCGCTTAGGGACCACACAACCCTCGTGGTCGCAGAGGGAAAGGGCCCAGGGCCTGGCAGGGACCCCAGCATCCTCCATCTAGGGCCCATCACACCGGGCACCCTCGTGAGGCCTTGGGCAGACAGGAGGGTCAGGAGAAGCCATGGGCACAGGCATCTCCCAGCCCCGCCCATGGCTCTGGGAACACGGAGGATCAGCTGGCAGGACTGCTCACACAATAAGCGGAAATAAACCCCCCCTCCAAGAGGGGCCATTCCGCACCCTTCACTTGTGAAGCAGCTCGTTGTGAGGTTTTTCCCTAAAGGACTCAGGTAAGCGTGAGAAAAGTTTCAGCTGGGTGAGATCTGTGTGCAAGCTTCGGAGTTGAAGTGCAAGGTGGAGAACAGCATCTGAGATCACGGGCCGTTGCTGTAAAAAGAGAAAAGGGAGGGGTGGGACCTGCACGGTGGGGGGCGCGCAGACCAGGAAGGACACACAAGCAGCAGTAACTGCGGGCACCCGCAGGTGTGAACACAGGAGCACAGGGTCAGGAGACACATGAAGAACTGAATTTTCTCTGTGTGCTCCTCTGCAGTATTTGGATCTTTTTCCATGTGCATATTTTTCAAAAACAATGTTGAGTTTTTTTATTCATTCAACAAGCAATTTTGGAGGGTACAGTGAGTTTCAAGCATTAAGAGAACAAGATAAGTAGAAAGCAGGTGAGGCACTGACTGATCCCTGTCCTCAGGGGTACTGGGGGGGGAGGTGCACAGGTGAGCCATGTTGTAACCTGTCATCCAAGCTGACACCCTCTGAAGAACGGGTACCACTAACTGACAGCAGTGTGAAATGAGACTGTCCCGGGCAACCAAGATGTTTGGTGGCCCAGACAGGACAACGCTCATCCACAGCCAGGACCCAGGGCTAGAAAGCAGGAGGGACGCCAGAGCCATGGGGAGATGGCAACTGAATCAGGGCAGCTTCCCGGAGGAGGATCTGAAGGGCAGGCAGGACTTAGAGGGTAGACTCAGCCGGGGAGGTAGGCAGAATTATGGCCCCCAGGAAGATTTTACAGCCCAACCCCCAGAACCATGGGTAGGATGATACCTCACACCCACGGATGCACTGCCTGACTCTGTCAGCTGGGGCTGCCGTAACAGAGGCCCACAGACTGGGTGCCGTACACAGCAGGCACTTATTTCTCTAGCCTGGAGGCAGGAAGTCTGGGATCGGGGTGCCACGTGGCCAGGTTCTGGTGAGAGCTCTCCTCCTGGTTGGGAGGGAGAGGATCCTGGATTACCGGGCTGGGCCCAGTGTAAGCGTCCAAACCCTTCACCCAGTGGCAGACAAGAAGGCGGAGAGTTCAAAGAGATCTCAAGCCTGGAGGACTCCATGTGGCTTTGCCGCTTTGCGGAGGGAAGAATGCAGGGGGCTTTCCGGACCTGAGGGCGTCCCTGGCTGACTATCAGCAAGGAAACAGGGACCTCAGTGCTACAACCACAAGGAACTGAATTCGGCCACAACCCAAGTGAGCGGGAGCAGATTGTCCCCCCAGGCCCCCAGGTGAGAGCCCAGCCTTGATCTCAGGCCTGCTAGACGAGACGGAAGCAGAGGAGCCAGCGAGCCCCGACATTCCCGGCCTGCAGACGCGGTGAGAGGGTCTTGTGACGCAGCTACAGGAAACTAACCTGGGGCCACTCCGTTAGGTGAGAGTAAGGCCAGTACTGTGGGGAGCTGGGGTCACGAAGGCAAATACTCACAGGAGCCCCCACAAAGCCGGCCCAGCTGGAGAAAACAACAGCGTGGACACAATGGTGGGGGGCCACCAGCAGAGCCTGGGAGGCAAGCAGGCAGCGCGCAGGGCGGGCCTGGCCCTGCGGGAGAGCCCGCCGCACGCCCCGTCACCCAAGCCTGGCAGGAATAGGGCCCAGTGCGACCAAATATTCCAGCTCTTCAAGAAAATCGACATCCAATTTTTGTATAAAATATTCTCATTCAAATTTTAAACACTGCTGGCCAACCTTGTGCAGCCTAAGCCACACAGAGATGTGGGTCTTGACCCAGATGCGACCTTCTGAGTGTCAGAGAAAAAGCAGGAGGTCCGGGGACAGAGCGTGGAAGCCCCAAGTGTGGACTTTTTCAGGAGGCAACAGGGACCCAGTGCAAGTGCCCCTGTCCTCCCTTCCAGAAGAGAAAGGGAACTCACACACGCGGAAGACCCACCTCCCCCAGTCACAGTGCAGGTCACCTGCTCCCAGCTCCCCAACAACCTGACGTTGTCAGGGCTATGGGCCCCTTGTCACACGAGCTGTGGAGGCCAGAGTGGCTCAGTAACTGCCTGACATTACACAGGTGTGACCTGGTGACTCTGGCTCAAAGCTGTGCTTCTGATTCCCAAACCTGCATCCTCCCAGCGGCCCCACGTGGCATCCTGGCATCTCGTGACTTGGTTCTTTTCATTGCAAAGGGGTTTGCTGTCTAGTTTCCCGGGCCTGGGCTCTTCTCCCCTCACTAGCGAACCAGCCTCTCTCCTCTCTTAAGGCTCGGCTCTCCCTTCCAGCTCCCACCACAGCCCACCCCTGCAGCGCCTCCCCACCCCCTCCACCCCAGCCTTTGGGACTCCATTCCTACTGCTCACCTGTAGCCCAGTCTCTCAGCTTCCCAGTTCCAAACTCCTAAGAAAGGAATCTAACTGGTCAGAGTCATGTTTCTGTCCCAAGTGACAAGGGTCACAGGTCCCTGGTCAGGCTATGGGGTGGGCCTCCCTGTGGTCAGATGCCAGCCCAGCTGTGACCCTCGGTAACCCCTCTCCACCCCCTACCCCATCTCTAACCCTTGCCTCAGGGTCAGTCCCCAGAAGACCAACTCAGGGTATGAGCAGGACGACTCAGGGAACAGGTTGGGCAAGTCATGTCCCTAAAAGCAGCCCCCAAACGCCGGCTCCGCCATGCCTGACTCTCATAAATACAGCTTGAGCACAGGTGTCTGGACCAGGCAAGGTAAGGGCTCCCAACAGTATCCGAAATCAGTCTGAAGCCGCCGAGACACACCGCACAGCCACAGGGCGGGGGCACCGCCAGCACCACCACACCGATCGCCTACTGCACGACCCAGGTGAGCCAAGAAACCAGCAATATCCCCGTGTCCCACTCCCAGCCCGACCGCGATTCCCGACCACGGAGCTGAGCGTCAGCTCAAGGACGGTCTCTTCACTGCCCTCGGAGAGAATGAGATTCTGTCAACAACGAGCCCTCGCTCTGCCTTGTTCTGGAGACTTTAGGAAGTCCTCTGCAGAGGCATCCAGATCAGTGAGGGGGAAGGCGGGCGTGATGAGGTCAGAGGAGCAGGCTGAGAGAAGAATCAGGTTTTAAAGCCCCTTTATAAAGGCTTCATTTTGAATGGAGAACAGCAGGCTTTTAAAATAGCATTATTGAACTTACGCTGACTCGTAACAAACTGCCTAAGTGTGCGTGAAGTGTACAACGTGGTGTCTGACCGACACACACACCTGTGAAACCACGCCCACGATCAAGACGACCAAGGTACCCACCGGCCCCGAGTCTCCTCCCGGCCATTTACAACGCCCCTTCCCAACCCCTCCCCTCGACTCCCCGTCCCACCTCTTGGCAACCACTGCTCTGTCACTGCGTTTGCATTTTCCACTGTGACA